AGATTGCTACAAAATAATGTGTTCATGTGGTCGCTTTTATGTTGGAGAAACTTTTCGTTCCATTCGACAAAGAGTAGCTGAACACAAAAGCGCTTGCGAAGGTTGTTGGGTTCAAAAATCGGAACTTGCTGAGCACAGGGCAGGAACGGGACCCGAGATTGACTGGTCTCAAACTTGTCGTTTTGCTGATTATGGCATGACTGTGGCTAAACGTAAAATTAGATAAGCCATTGAAATAAACCGAATAGGAAATACCTTTTGGTGGAACCGACCTTCGAATCTCTTCACACAACACTTCCACTCAAATGGAAGAAGGCTCAACAATTATGACACAAGAGATTCCTCGAAACCCATCTTTTCTTCGTATAAGTTGATAAAAGACTGGTAGTTGTATTTTCCCACAATTATATGAGTAGAGCTGACGTTTGCATTAAATTCCACATAACCTTGCCTTGCCAAAAGTTGTTCTCATCCAGATTCGACTGCATATTATTACTGATTTACTGGTAGTCTCGAAACTCTACTTACATACGAAAAATAAGTAACGTAGTCGACTGTCATAGCAAATATACACTTGCCTCATCGACAATCCCACCAAAGAACGTGATATGGGAAAAGGCCTGGCCTTCCTTGAAATTCACCCCTGCCCTGTGACTCAAGGGCACTCGTGATAGTGTGACCGAGTGATTAACATGTCCAGCTTACATGATACACTGTCACAGTTCGATTCCCGCTGGGGGTGTTAAAGAGACCGATGCGAGGTCGAAACTGCCGTCCATTTCTGGCTGGATGAGAACAATTTTTGGGAAAGCAAGGCTATGTGAAATTCAATCGAAACGTCAGTTCTATTCATAGCATTGTGGGATTATTCTACTACCAGTCCTTCATCACCATAAACGAAATAGGATGAATACATATCATGTGTTTGTTGCGCCTTTTTTAATAAATAATGATGATGATGCCTTTCACATGACACACGTAACCTCTAGACAGATTCATTGGAGAGGCAGGACTTTTTCGCACAATTCAACAATCCTCATTCTAAGATAACCCTCCTCATTTACATTTCCTTCAAAATGAAAAGTTATGTCACACTTAATCACAAATAGATTTCTAGGACCTCAATTTTTTCATATATCGTCGGACTT